GATTATGAACATGCTCAAAAGGTATGGCAAGTATTCGAGATGAAGAACTTTGGAGAATATCATGACCTTTATCTTGAGACTGATGTACTTTTACTTGCGGATGTTTTCATGAACTACACTATCATATGCTTGCAAGATGATGGTTTAGATCCTTCTCACTATGTCTCTGCACCAGGGATGTTCAATGATTCACTATATAAGAGCAGTAATGCAGAGCTCAAACTCATGACAGATATGGATGAATATCTAATAGTCGAGAATGGTATACGTGGAGGAATGACAATGGTAAGTCATCGATATACCAAAGCAAATAATCCACAATGTTCAGATTATGAGTCCAGTAAGCCAAAGTCCTGGATCATGTATAAAGATATGAACGCTTTATATTCAGGTGCAATGACTCAAAATATGCCCACAGAGATTTTGGGCAAGGTAAATCCAAAAGAAATTCCCAATATACAAAGCATTACACCAGATGCAGAAATAGGTTATATGTTAGAAGTTAATTTAGAGGCCCCAGTGCATTTACATGACTTCTTTACAGATTATCCTCTAACACCAGAAAAGCAGATAGTACCAGAAAACTGGCTTAGCCTATATAACAAAAGATTAGTAAATAATAAAGAAATTGGAAATGGAAAATATGTGTCTGGAGTAAAGATGGGAACTGTAATTAATATGTTGCAACTTTTAATGTTGCAACTTACGTTGCAATTAGTTTTAACCTATATATGTTGCAACCTATAATGTTGCAACATATGTTGCAACTAATTTTAGCTTATGTTGCAACATTTTGTAAATTTGAAATCAATTGCTGTATCATCTTTAGTCTTAGCAATAAATCCAATCACTTGTTTAGGCTTATATTTTTTTTCTGATTATCTTTGATTAAGTATGATTATATTATTTATCATTAATCAAACATTATATATCATAATGTTAAATAAAACATTTATTGAACATATGATTGAGATATACACAATAATGAAAAGTCAAGTTCTGAATAAATTGTTAGATTTATTAGTTAATTTCTTTCAGATAGTATCTTTGACATTTTACAAAAATAAAGATTATAATAATCTTTAACAAAATATAATGTTATAATTTAAACTGATTTTAAAGATAATTAAAAATTAATATTAATAATTTAATTAGTATATTTTAACTAAATTATATTTTTATTCAGATTTTTTTAGAATCAGTTGATTATTAAATTTTAATATACTATATCATTTAAAAATGATGCAGCAATTAATTTCAAATTTACAACTTGTTGCAATATAAGCTATATATGTTATTATGCATATATGAAATTTTGTGACTTTAATAAATATTTCAGTTACTATAAAGAAATGATGTATAAACTTTTCAAGATTATTATCTCTTATTCTAATAAAAAATATAGAACTGAATTTTATGTGTTAAAATAATTATTTGCAAATATTATAGTTTTTATTAGGTAATAGTATTGAAAGATATGATAAGGCAGCATATTTTAATTTTAGTGCATTGTTAAAGAATCAAAATATAAGTATGCTGCTTAATTTATAATATATTTCACTATTAATAATAAATTCAGAGTAGTAAGGAGTATATAATAAGAACAATTTATAAACTACTAACTTTAAGAGAATTCTTAATGATAATTTATTTGTAGATTATACTGAATATTTTGCATCATAAAATATAAAATACTTTAATAATATTAGTTATACTATATTTGATAATGATGATCAAGTTGATGTGAATCTTCATGTTAATAAAACTGTAAATATTTTAGAAGATATATCAGATGATATTACTAAATTATTTATTTTATAAGAAAGTAATGATTTAAAATTAGGATATCTATATTATAGACTTCAATGATTAATAAATCAAACTTGATATCAAATTATATAATTAAATGGTTAGATTACCAATTAAATGTATATTTTATATATCAATGTCAAAAAAACAGGTAGTTATAATGAAAAGTATGATAAACTAATTTATATTATATATATAATATCTTTTATTAGGTAATTTATAAAATGCGTGATTAAGATTGAGATTAAGATTAGTGGTTAATCTTATTTCACAAAGAACGTGATTAAGATTAAGCTTAATCTCAAGCTGATCATGATCAAAATTAAATATGAAATTTTAATCTTACTCACAGAGTAAGATTAGGAATAAAAATTGAATAAAATTTTGTATTACTTATAAATATATTACCTACTACTACCGATCGTAATCATTTTTCTTTAAAAATTCTGCTTTTTTCTAAATATATTGATTTTTTAATAATTTAAAATATAGTAATTAAAATTATTAATTTTAATTTTGTATTTTTTTTAATTTTAAAATACAAACCTTTTTTTGAACGTGAACATGAAATATAACAATTTTTTTACTAAACTTTTTTTAATAGAACCAGTAAATAGAAATAAAAGAATTAAATAGAATAAAATGTTATTAAGCATTATTAACTTTTCTTAAAAAACAAAAAAAAAACTTAAAAGTCTAAAATATACACATAGAGCTACTTTCAATCTAGAAAATATTTCACTTTGGAAAGAGGCAGAGATATTTCTTTTAACTTATAATTTTGAATAGTTTTATAATAATGTTCAAATTGCTAACAAGTGGAAGAACTTAGTAAATAATTATAAGGTTTTTTTTAATTATAAAAAATATGTTAAAAAATTTATTAAAAAATTTATTTATAATTACTAATTATTAATGATATAACTTGCAAAATCAAAACAAATTGGTGAATCTCTAATTGTTATTCAATATAAAAAAAAAATTAAAGCAATTTTAAATAAAGTTATACTTGCACTAAACCTATTGTTTTGTATTGATTCTTTTACTGATTCTTCTACAAGTTTTACAAGAAAAAAAGATTTTGATAATGATGATCAAGAAAATCCAATTGTACTTTCTAAAATTAATAGAAAACATACAAAAAAAATCTTGATGATAATGATCAAAAAAATCCAATTGTACTTTCTAAAATTGGTAGAAAACATACAAATAAATGCAAAAAATGAATAATCAAAGTAAAAAAAATCCAAAAAGGTTAGAAATAATTTGAAAAATACTATTCAAAAATAGGTTGAATAATAAGAAATTAGACAAAAAGAGAAAATGCGAAAAGATAATAAAAAAATCAAGAGGAAAAATCTTAATTTCTTCAAACAAAACAATAATCTGATAAAATATTATTTGGTCTATTGAATAATTTTACTAATTATTTTTTACATAAAAAAGCAAATAATTAAGGTAAATTTAAATTGATTTATAAGAAATTTGTATTGTAAATCACATAATTATCACATAATTTTTATGTTTACTTACTTTAATTTATTTTATATTTAATATTATGTGATTTACAATTCCAATCTTTTAATTTATAAAAACAATTTACTTTTTTATTATTATTATTTACATTATTTTATTATTTAATTGTGTAAAGATGATAAAAAAGATGATGAAGAATATGAAATGATGTAATTTTTTTTACATTTATAATAAATAAATAAATCAAAATTGAATATATTTGAAAAAAAAAATTTTTATTAAGTTGAAATAATATATTAATATTAAAGATAATATAACAATTAATTCAAATTTACAACATATTGCAACATACAGTAAGCTAAAATTAGTTGCAACATATGTTGCAATATTATAAGTTATAATATATATATATAGGTTAAAACTAATTGCAACGTATATTGCAACATTAAAAGTTATAACATATTAATTATGGTTTTCATCTTTAATCAATACAACTATTTTATAATATAAAAGTTATTTTTAAATACCTATTTCTAATTTATAGTATTTATTGATGTCTTCTTTGATGATCATTCTATAAAATATTACATATAGCATTTCTAATCATATTTTCTTCTAATGTTTTATTATTAATATTTATTTTACTACTTAAATCAGTTTCTGCATTGTAATATTACTCTTCTGGTGGTAAAAAAATCATATCTCTTCTCATAAATATTATGAAGTATACAATAAATAGTTATAATATATAAAACTATTTTATATGAGACCTTCAAATTATAAAGAAGACATCTTTATCTACCTTTTAATAAACTAAATACATATAGTCACACCTCAATAATGAAGTTAGCGTCTGGGCTGATCAGCCCTTCATTATAAGAAAATTCGTTATTACTATAACGAATTATTTAGTATAATAAATGATTACCGAAAAAGGAAAATACAAACATAATTTTACTATGATATAATTAAAGTTAATTTTATGATGTCATTTATAGAATAACCTCTTTGTGGTTAAAGTTAAAGTGATCTTGAAGCAATTTTGGTAATGCAAAAATTGGAATTAATCTTAAATAAAACAATTTATAATGATAAATATAAATTTATTTTTAAAAGTTTTGAGATCTCTTCATTAAACAAAAAAAAGTAAGAAAATTTATTAATGATGGTTTAAAATACAATTAATTAATATTATTTATTTATATGAAAAAAAAAATAAAAAATAAAAAATAAATAATAAAAAAAACACATCACAAAATGAAAACCTCACATCAATAAAAAAAAGAAATTAAAAAAAAATTAAAACCTTGATAAAAAATAAAAAAATTAAAAAAAAACAAAAATAATTAAACCCCCTACTCCCCATCCCTAATTACTGGTTTGCCTGGTTCACTGTCGACACGTTACGGGCTCTTCTTCGATGATGTCTCATAACTAAAAAATGTAAAAGATACTTAATATAAATCTAAAAATTTCTAAAATTTTTATTAAGAACTATCAATTAAACATAATAATTACCTGGCAAATCTCAAAACCTAGTTCAGAATAGATCATAAAACCGTTCCCCATTATATGACCACCTTTCTCCTCTTCTCGTACCATTACGCTAATCACAAAAGTCCTAAAAGATACATATTAATTACTTATACTATTAAGTTATATTTATCAACATATTATTATTTATTTATTTACTTATCCCGTAATCCCTTATCAGATTTTGCCATTTCTTCTCACAATGCTTTGCTAAATCTTAATTTATTACCATAATAATAATAGTGGTATTCGTGGTTTCTTCTTCTCCTTTCTTCTGGTCTCTGTATCTTCTCAAATGATTCTTGTAGCAGCCATTGTTATGAAAATTTATTTGTAAAAAATTAAAAATATTAAGATATTATGTAGATTTATTTGAATTAAGAAAGATTTTTTTTTTAAAAGTTTCAAAAATGAAAAATTAAATGATGGTAAAATACTTCCCTTTAAAAATAAATTTCATTATTATT